GCACTTTTGAGCAGTAGAGTTAGCTGTCCAGACAGTCATAAATCTATCCTTTACTCCTACATCCAATGCCCCGAAGAATACACCTCAATCTTGGAAGGAAATAGCAGGGGATTCGATCAACAAAAGGATGTGGCCTGATGCATGGGGGATGGAATTAACATAGGGCAGGAGCTATTCCCCCCCACCTGGCCTTTCCCACCCACCACGCGTTGTGTTGGACGTTGCGACTTTGATGCTGTTCTTTTGTGTAACCCAAATGGAAGAGCCCCACTTCATACATCATCATGCGGTGCAGCCCCAAACCCGGAGCTCTGAAACACGCTCCTGAAACTGTACAACAAACTGCATCACAACAGCATTCCGCAGCTTAACCTCCTCCAGCGCATCACGGACAATCTACAACCTATTGTGGGAAATGGTCCCTCATTCTCACGGGCCTTGGGGGGCCGGCCAATCCTTGCCTAGAGACAGCCCCTCAACCTGAAGCAAATCCTTTCTAGGAAACACATGTCACACCTCAGCCATACTCACCCCACAACTTACCCCTGCCATAAGCCAACTCTGCCCACACATCTATACAAGCAACAACGTCACAGGACCTAACCACATCAGAGTTTCATACCACTGCACATCCACTATATGCTATCAAGTGCTAGCCATGCCCCTTTGGCATGGACATTGGCCGAACTGGCAAGTCTCTGCAACAAAGGACACAAGACATCAGAAATGGGAACACCCGGAAACCTATACGGGACATTTTCACCTGCCTGGGCACTCAGTCATGGATTTAGAACCTGGATTGAAAAGTAGCTGTTCTTCTACAAAGGAATTTCACCAGCCCACTACAGAGAAAGAACGTGGAATTGACCTTCATGTGAAAAGATGACTCTGTTCCCCTGGAGTTGAACTAAGGCTGCGTCTACACTACAAAGAAAAGTCAGAAAAGACACACAAATTCAGAAGAGACTTTTCCGAAATTTGGCCTTTCTACACAGGGCCAAATTGTGGGAAAACCTCCTCTTTCTCCATTCCTTCCACCTCATTCAATGAGTGTTACAGGGATGACGAAAGAACACAACCACATTTCTGAATTTTTTTTGGAAAAGCGGACGCGTTTCTTGGATGTGGAGTAGCTTTTCCAGGATACCTCCAATCTAGACCTCCTGAAGTCTAGATGTACCCAAAGACATTAACTGGATGTCCCACTATAAAACCAGCCGTCCTTACATTTAACATTGACATCAAAAGCCAAGTCTGGAGTTCCAGCCCACTCCAATTAGCTAATTGATGGGCACTTTTCCCCCCTCTCCCTTCTTTTTCTGCAGTAAATTCTGGGTCGCCATTTTTTCCCACCCCAGATCATCCGAAGAAGTGGGCTGTGCCCACAAAAGCTCATGATACTAGATATATTTTTGTTAGTCTAGAAGGACCTCTCGTTGTTCTTACAACAAGTCTGGTAGGTGTGAGATCGGGGAACAGATCTAGGGCCGTATTCTAGGTGTGGGAAGTGACTGAATGGAGACCAGCCTGTCTTCTCTCTTTGCCCCTCTGCCTCACGGCCTAGTTGCTTTTGCAAGATGAAATAGTCGCTTCCAATCCTCCATACACCCAAATGCAGAGGTTGAAAGTGGAGAGGAAAACAATAACTAACGAGGAAAGATCAGAAGAAATAATAGTGATTTCAAAATATGGGAACCCACTAAGTCTTTACCTGAAGATAAAAGAGAGTTGACCGTTATCAACTCCTGGGTTCCAAATCACACAAGAGTCATTTGGATTCTTCTTGAAGCTCACGACCCAGACTGTGGACAAAGGCCACCGTGAGGAAAATTTCCGAGTATCTGATTCCTCGGAAAAGCTTAAGGGCTGTGCATCTGCGACTCCTTTTTATGAGTCCCACACAATGAAACACCCTTGTGGACAACCAGCCAGGAAAATTTGCTTGTGTCCGACGGTGCTCCTGGGAAAACCTCCTTGCGTGTTGCAGGCTCGAAAACAAACAAGCTAAGGTTTCCCGGGAGAGATAGAGGGCGAAAATACTGGAGCAAATGACTTGCAAATATTTTCCTTAAACAAGCACGCTCAGATCTCTTTAAAATGTATGACTCTCAGGAGGAGTTGGAACAGGGTTTGCTGCATTCCTTACTCTGTCTTGGGAGACCAGGGAGCAGACAAACTTGGACCTATCCTAGCTAGGATACATGCCCCCGACCTCTGGCTGTGTCTGCTGGAGGTGCCTGCAGTGGCCATGGGGAGGCGCTTCTCACCTGGCCCCAAGTGGCAGTGGAGAGGGAGGGTTGGGGTGGCCCTTTCTCCCTGGTGCAGTCTGAAGACTGAATCCCCCCTTCCCAGCCCCACTCCAGAGCAGTAATTGACATGAAATCTGGACCCTCTCATATTTTTTATTTACCAAAACCCCTCCATACATTAATTCAGTTATACACCTGTGTGATGCTGGGTGAATCATAGAATCATAGAACACTAGAACTGGGAAGGACTTTGAGAGGTCATCAAGTCCAGTCCCCTGCACTCATGGCAGGACCAAGCACCTTCTAGATCATCCCTGGCAGGTGTCTGTCCAACCTGCTCTTAAATATCTCCAGAGATGGAGATTCCACAACTCCCCTGGGCAATTTATTCCAGGGTTTAACCCCCCGACAGTTAGGAACTTTTTCCTAATATCCAGTCTAAACCTCCCTTGCTGCAATTTAAGCCCATTGCTTCTTGTCCCATCCTCAGAAGCCAAGGAGAACAATTTTTCTCCCTCCTCCCTGTGACACCCTTTTAGGTACTTGAAAAGCACTATCATGTCCCCTCTCAGTCTTCTCTTTTCCAAACTAAACAAGCCCAATTCTTTCAGTCTTCCTTCATAGCTCATGTTTTCTAGACCTTTAATCCTTTTTTTTTGCTCTTCTCCAGATCTTCTCCAATTTCTCCACATCTGTCTTGAAATGTGGTGCCCAGAATTGGACGTAACACTCCATCCGAGGCCTAATTGGCGCAGAGTAGAATGGAAGAATGACTTCTCATTGCTCACAACCCTCCAGCTAATCCATGTAAATCTTCTAATATATATATATATATA